ATTTAATAACATTTATTAAATAATATAATATTTCATTACAATAGACACCATAAAGAACCTAAAATCCCAGGTATCCAAAACGTTTCTTTAAGAACGAAGCAAAATAATATTGTCAAATTAAAGAGTACAACGAAGATGTAGCGCGACAATGAAAGTAGCGTGTATTACGTTTAGTCGGTTAATCAGGCGCCATTGACAGCTCTCTCGTCGTTTGCGCTCGCGTTCCTATTTTGTTGAATTTAACTTGTTTCTTTGTTTTGTTTTTGTTATTAAGTTATTTAAGTTTAGGTTATTCATCGTTTGTAATTAATGTGTTCAAATATATTGAAGAAACTTGGCCCAAAGATATCCGTACAAGAAAGAAATCCGTACATCAGATTCAGAATAGTTTCTATTTAAACATGATAATGAAATAGACCCATAGGCTAGGCTCTTGTACGATTTAGGCATTTGTACTTGTATGTGTGTGTATGACAAATGAACGATTTTAAAGTAAATTTAGTTAAAATTAAAACACGAGAAATATTTGAAGTAATAGTAGGTTAAGTATCTCTGTGTCACGTGGTTTTCTTTGTTTACCTTTAGTTAATTACCTAAACAGATGAACTATAAGTTTAGAAGAGGGAGGTTGTTACGTCATAACGTGCTACAAATTGTGACACGCTGTGACGTCACACGATATTTCAAATTAATGTATCGTCGAAAGTATTTAATTTTGTGAGAAAAGAAAAAATACGTGTCTAAAGTTTTAAATTAATGTACCGGACGGACATTAAAATAAAATTTAGGAAACTACCCTATTTTGTTTAAACAGTAAATTTTGGTAGTTTTCAATACATTTGATTAGTTGATTAGAATGACTGCCTTTTTGGTACGTAGATAAAAATTGTAATGGCCGTTTTCATTAACCACATCTAAACCGTCTCTTAACTAGAAGTTACTTAGCGTGACATAGCACTACTTGTATTGTTAGGTGTCAATTATAGACTGCACGGTTGGTGCCGGGGCTGGGCAACCGGCTATCCCCCAACGTGTAGGATTCGAGTCTCACATGTATCAACTTTTTGTCTACGAATTGTTGTTCCGGGGCTGGAAGTCATATGTATGTGAATTTGTATGTTAGCAAACTCACCAACGAGATAGGAGAAAATCGTAATGTGGGGCAACGATTTAAAAAAAAGAGAATATAATATAATTTTGGTAGGAACCAAAATGTCGGTTGGTGTCACCATCTTAACTTAGAGTTTGCTTAAAATTTAGGAGAGGCAGATGAAAATATATGTATATAACAAAATAGTTTTTAGACCTTAATTAGATATCATATTATTAAGTAAAAAGTATCACAACATAATTTAGATTGCCTCATTGGCCGAGTGGTCGCAAGTGCGACTCGGCAAGGGGTCTCGGGTTCGATTCCTGGTTAGGGCAAAGAATTTCTGGGTTTTTTAAAAATCTATGTAGTAGCACGAAGTATGGAAATGTGCCCGGTATATGGCAATAGGCTCACCCCCTATTACATAGGACTCGTAACATAAATAGTGAAAAGTGGGTGTTACGTTGTATAGTGGCATCAAGTGCCGTAATGTGCACCTCTGCCTTCCCTTCGGGGATAAAAGACGTGATGGTATGTTATGTTATGTTGTCACAACATAATTACACTACCAAAGTTTAATTTACTACCATTTTCCTCCTTAAAACAAACACCATAAAACTGAAACTCGATTGACTCATCAGTAAAATGAGTTTGCCGAAAAACTGTGACGTCATTACATGATACAAAATGGCGGTTGTCTTAAAATTAGGATCGCCATTGTACCGTCCTACATCTTGTAGGCGAGTTAGTTAGGACAGAAGTTGGACATGTTACATCTAAAGGTACATGGAATTCGTATTAAACTAATAATAGTCTTATGTTAAGGGCACAAAATTGACTTTGAAGGTTCTAAATTCATTTGTTATCTAACTTCTGTGTAAATGTAATTGATATCTTGTAAAACATTAAATTATCTCATGTTCTTTATATCCTGAGATTTTAGAAACAATAATATACTAGATTGACTAAAACTCTCAGGTTATTCACGTGAATATACTGAGAAAAGCTCTACTAGTTTCGAGTCACAGAGGGGCTCTTTCTCATGAGCAGCGTGCGCGGTCTGGCTATATCGTGCAGCCTACAACATAGCTTACACCTTGTCGATCGACAATGATTCAACATTTGGTCATTATTATCTTCTAGCAATACATTTCAAAATTACTATAAGACTACAAAGCAATAGGGTAGTTGACTATTTTTATTTTAATGTCCGTCTGGTAGATTATTAAAAAACATTTCACACGTATTTTTTATTTTCTTACTGAAACAATTAGTTTCGAAGATATATTGATTAGAAATATCGCATGACGTCACTTTTGAGTACGATTTATTATATTACATTATATTACGAGTACGATATACGATTTACGACTCCTAAACTTTGATTAGTTTTATCTAAGTATGGTTTTCTTATAAAAAAAGAAAAAAAACGTGTCTAAAATTTTTTTATTACCCAACTGACGGAATAATTAGGTTCTTAATTTTCATCCCTATTGGGAGTGAACCACTGAACTCTTAATAGGTACATACATCATTACTTCACCATGTTCCTTTCTAGGACTACTTACGTATACCTATTCTGTCATTTAGTAATTGGGTAGTTTCCAGGGTATCAAAATTAAAAGTCTAATTAGCCCGTCAGTGATAAAATATTAACGTATATAAGTTGCAATACTTAGATAAAATGGCGCTAAGTTTAGGAGTGGGGGTTGTTACGTCATAACGTGCTACAAAATGTGACACGCTGTGACGTGGAAAGTATTTAATTTTATCAAAAAAGAAAAAAATCGTGTCTAAAGTTTTAAATTAATGTACCAGACGGGCATTAAAATAAAATTTAGAAAACTGTCCTATTGTACTATGATTTTTATCCTACACAAGTATAACAGGTGTATGACGAAAAACAGTAAGAAAGAGAATTATAACTGCAATACTAAGTTACTACATGTTCTTAATTGTACTCAGATAAAAGAGGACTAATTCATTCCAATTTAAAGACACTTAAAAACATCTACATCACTCATACTACCTTTAAAATAGGTTTAAAATAAATCCATGTGATATTATTACAAAACCTTACCCGCCCAAACAAATTCCACTTCAATAAAATAAATAGACTTCACGCCATTCTAAATACAGGTAAACGACGTGATTTATATGAACATCTCTTTGTAAAATCGAATGAGCAAATTGTTTCCAATGAAGAGATGGTGTTCAAAGGGAACCCTACCAATGGTTCCGTAGGGAAATCTTTATGCATTCAACAGTATATCAGTGTGTTTCGAACCAATTGAATTGTACGAGTGCTTCGGAATATGAATTGATTGTAGCATTGTTATTTGTAAAGCGTAATAAGTTTAAAGGTGGTGACGTAATACGTGTAAGAGTGCCATTTTATGGCATAAGACGGTAAACGAGCAGATGGATCACCTGATGGTAAGCAATCGGCGTCGCACACCTGGAATACTAGAGGCGTTACAAGTGTGTTACCGGCCTTTTGGGGATTAGGAGTTTGAGGATCGTTGGGGATTCAGGAATTGTCGAGATTGGGGAAGGGGAGGGTAATTGGGCCTCCGGTAACCTCACTCATACGACGAAATACAACGCAAGCGTTGCTCCACGTCGGTTTTCTGTGAGGCCTTGTTATCACTCCGGTCGAGCCGGCCCATTCGTGCCGAAGCATGGCTCTCCCACACTCAAAGTCTACATCTTATTTTAAATTTCTGTCTTGACTAGGTAACTTGTTGGTTTTACTTGACTAACAACATTCTTCCCTATATCTGTATGTTAACAAATAAAAGTGATTTAATTTTATTTTGAACACTTTTTCAATTATAAAGCTTGTTAAGTAAGATCGGTTACAAAAAATTTTTAGGGTAAAAACCCCCAAAACAACTACTACAGCTACTTTACTGTCTACACTTTTGTCTTTCTTCTTATACATTACTTTTATTGTTCCAAACGTTAATTCAATAACCTAAATAATAATAATTTTGTAATTCGGAAACTCTAAACTTTTTCTTTAACATCTAGGAAGCTAGGAACATTTTGAAAACAGTTTAATATCCTAACCAGAAATATTCAACTATCCTAACCGAATAAAATCATTAACAAAAGAGACAAATCATTATCAGGTATCCATGTCCCATCAACCATCACATTGACAAACACAATGAAATTGACCTCACAACGGCGTAGTCCTATCATCTTCCTAAATGACCTAAATACCTAGGTCACGTATTCAGTTATTGGACTACACTATGATCGTATTAGCAGGACACTCAAAGCTAATGCACCTCTAGTTTGTAAGATACAAAGTGCTGTAGAGATGTGACGCAACAGTCACACTTATATCGGAAACATGGAGTAGAAGTCTATAGTCATATTTTTTTGGCGTAGAAGTCTATTATGTGTCTAGTGACTTCTTATCTCAGTTGAAGTTTTTTATGTTTAAATACTAGAGAAATACTGCTTGCATGGTAAATGCATGTCTCCGAAACATGTTACCGAATCTCGATTAATATGTTTTTATTAGGCTGAATAAACAAATATGGATAACGACTACAAAGTGGATGTACAAGATTGCCTCGTTGGCCAAGTGGTCGCAAGTGCGACTGCCGGGCAAGGGGTCTCGGGTTCGATTCCCGGGTCCCGCAAAGTATTACTGGGTTTTTAAAAAAGGCTCACCCCCTATTACATGGGACTCATAGCATAAACAGTGAAAAGTGGGTGTTACATTGTACAGTGGCATAATGTGCACCTCTGCCGACCCCTTCGGGAATAAAAGGCGTGATGTTATGACTACAAAGTGGAAATACAAAATAAAATCCTGTTATACCCAAGAGTATCCCATCTTGTAAATTCTATTAATATCAAAATCCTAAATCTAGTATTTGTATGGTTTCAGGTTCCTGCTTAAGTTACGGCCATTCCTGCTGGGGAGGTGAGTTCAATGACCTGTTATATATCTCAGATACATTTTAAGATTACCTTAAAAATTTATATTTAGAATCTTTGTCATTTACACATACCGATCTCAGTATTCATATTATGTCAATATGGTAATCGAATAATTAACTAATAAATCTTTATAAAATATACCTAATCTTATTTAGTTGGGATCAGCTCTTGTCTATGCGATTGCCATTTTCTATTATGTACATACACGCATTGCTAGTAATCTACCCATTTATCCCCAAGCGGTCACCGGTGACCGCTCTCCACTAACTACATTATAGACCTTATTTCCGATGTTTTAGAGACTACTTTTGTATGAACAAATTTAGGGGATGATATTCAACAGGAGTGTATGCTGTGCGAATGCGGCCTTCGCTATATCGTCGGGGATAGTGCAAATCCGCAATAGATTTTTTACAGGGGAAGGTTAAAATTTAATAATTTATTAATTCAATGAATTTAAAGCTCAATTTTACATATTGAAAATATACAAAATGAACTCGTGTCAAGGCGATGTGGCAGCCAATTGATATTTTGGGGGATTTTTTCGCGAATACTTAAGATAGCTACATTTGTCCGATACACGGAATTGTTCAATGCGAGTTCCGCGGATTTGCACTATCCCCGACGATATGTGACCCTAACAAAGACACTATTAAAACTAAAAACATTTTTTCTGAACCTGTCATGAAAGATAAGACTTCATACTTAGCAATCATACCAACGCTGTAACGACATTTCATATACCAATAACCAACAATAATAACAGAAGAATTACAAAACACAAAATCTCCAGACTCTAGACAAAACTTAGATAAGACTAGCCTAAACCAATGATGGCTTAATCAAGTATCATTTATACGTCGGCGGCGGCCATTTTTATACCGTTAGCCGGCAAACTACTATCATGAATATTGCTTTTATTTTAATCCGTGGGCTTATAAACACGTAATATCGATGTCCACTCCCACATTCCATGATAGTGTGGGATTATTACCATTTATTGACACTTATGGTGCTTTCAAATTACTCCCAGGATCTGCATTGGATGAGTTTTTGTTGCATATGATCGGTTTTGTGTGGGAAAATGCACTATTATCACATTTTTTATGGGATACGCCGGTAATCGAGCAGACGGATCACCTGATAGTAAGCAATCGGCGTCGCCCATGTATACCTGGAACACCAGAGGCGTTACAAATGCGTTACCGGCCTTTTGAGGATTAGGAATTTGAGAATTGTTAGGAATTTAGGGAATGGGGAGATTGGGGAATGGGAGAGAGGGTAATTGTGCCTCCGGTAACCTTCCACGACAAAACACAACACAGTTTTGTTTCACGTCAGTTTTCTGTAAGGCCATGGTATCACTCCGGTCGAGCCGGCCCATTTGTGCCGAAGCATGGCTCTCCCACACTTTTGGTTGCAATGGTTGGTTATTCGAACCTAAACGGTGTAAAAATATAACTGCATGTGAAGTTTTCTCTGTGTCTGTAATAAAAGGTACGATATATAACATGTTAATTATAAAAAAGGCGCAGACAGATCTTGGACATTTAAGAACGCAAAATAAATTATAATCCTCCATTTGACTTCGCCGTAGTCGGGTAAAAAAATAACGTAAACTTTGAATTTTCCTTAACATTACGACACGTAACTAAAATAAATTCTATTACTTAACGCTAAACTTACATTGATAAGGAAATGTAATATTTCAATGAAAGCCTTACATTTTCCTACTCATTCCATGAAAGGTCTACTTCGGGGATTGGGGTCCGTCACCATTGGGAAGGTCTGAACCATATTCCAATGAACTGAGTGAATGAACCAAACACTTTTCCGAAAACTTTAATATTTTTGTTTCGGTGGTTGCCTCATGTATAAGTTTGATTAAAAATACTTATGGTTGGTTATCATCTTTTGTTTGTTTTTTGTTATTTATATTAGATATCCTTTGTCGTTTTCTAAACAATATACATACTGAGTTTTATATTGTTATTATGGTGGCAATAATACGACAGTCCACCACCACAAACATAATTATATTATACTAAGTTTCAAACAGAAATAAGAGGATAAGATAAAATTGTATGTCACTTAGAATCGTTGACCTTTTCTTCATTTTAATATTTTAAAACCTTTTCTCACATACAAGGTGTCTAGCAGTTAGCTACTATGAGATATAACATATCCGAAAAACAATATAATAATATCGTATAATCGGTATTATGTAAAATGTCTAATACAAGTCACCTGTCGACATTTTAATCCCAGCCCGCATAATGAGCATAATCGGGACAGCTTTCATTGCTAAGGCTTGCTACACACATGGCTACAGAAAGTAGCTGGCTGGCAACAGATCGCTAAAAATTACGATACACAGCTGTTCAATTTTCACTTTCGTTTTTCAATAGTTACAAACTTATTTGAAACCTACTGTATCACTTTTCTGCATCACCCTGTGGTTGGCTGGTGTGGTGGTGGTAAGCCCCTGGTGCATGTACAAAAAGTTTTAGAATAAATAAGATACAAATACCCCCTTTTATTTTAGTTTGAGAGAAAAACTAGGAAGTATTTGATTTTTATCTCACTAAAACCACCCCGGTGGCTACCCTCATCATGTATAGAAGAAGATATATATGCAGCTATTGTAGATAGAAGGAAACAACAAGATGTGTTTGATGATGATTCTTCTATAGTCATAATAAAAAGGGTTATGAAATCACATCAAAGTTAATTTTGTTATAAATCGTATAAACGTACCCACGACACAGGAGAAAATTCTAGTGTGGGGCAACGTTAAAAAAAGAAAGAAAAGACTATTTATAATATCATTTTTGTCCTAAATTGTAGCTTAGTGTACAACAGCTTAATATGGCAGTAACCCAATAAAAGTTGGTCAAACACATGCAGTGTACGGGACGAATATTAATTAGTCCTATACCTAGACTGTAAATAATCGAATGTTTATCCTTAGAATTTTAATTATTTCTAAGTAGATGAAAACTATAGATAGTTGTTGCTTATGAATTGCTGTTTTTCAAAAGGTTATACGTCAAAAAGCATTTATTTCAATCAGAGGTGTTCATTACAAAGTAGGTTTTTTTTAGTATTCATTACAAAATTATAACAGTTTATTTTTTATTTTTTACATGCACATATAGAATCTAGATCAAGTAATTTACATAACAGGTGCGATGTTTATAATCGAAACCTTTTCCATTGGTTATGAGACCACAACTATGACTGAAGAAGCACAAAATTTCTGGTTTTTGCATTATCATTGTGTATGTTCTCTCAAATGTAGACCTCCGGAATGAATTCATCTTCTACATAAAATTATTTTATGACTGATTGCTTCTTTGGTCGAGTGCTCGCAAGTTCGACTTCCGAACATGAAGTCTCGAATTCAAATACAGATCCGGCCAAAATGTTTCTGTAGATTTTGCAGCTTTTTTAAATTGGTCTACAATATGCTAGATTATATTCTTACCATATTACGAGAGATCCATAACTGGTGGAAAATTGGTTTTACATTGTAGGTACAGGTATATGCAACTCCACATGTCTCTTGAGAGATAAAAAGCCATTGTATCATGCTATTTCACGAGTATTTGCGAGTAACCTGCGATTAAGCAGTGACTAATAATCCCATGGATACTAAACGAAAACTATTAGAATTTCAAAACTTCAATTAAAATTAACGACATGCAAAACTTTCACAATGGATAGGTATTGAAGGATTGGGAGGAACATTATCATAATCGATCGAGCATGTGTAAAACTTTTTCAATGTCGATTAATTTTAACCGATTCATTTTGTAATAATAAAATGTACCTGGGTAGTAGAGACACCATCACAGACATTGCAGTATGCACCACGCCGTGCGCTCTTGCCTGGTTCTGGTTGGACGGCGAGCTACACTTGCTCGCCGTCCGCACGCTCGTGCTTATAGTGACACTTATTGGCCCTTATTATAGTACTTACCTTTTCAAACATGAAAGGAAGAAGACCTTAATCTTCAAACTATAAAAAGAATTTAGTAACAAATGGGATAATGACATTTTAATTTTTACTTCCAGCTCACGGCAAGAGATCCGGCAAGCCTCCTGCGTCAGCCCCTGATTGGTACCTCACCAGGTTGCTGCGACGCATGGCTGCTAACGCTGAACTGGTAAGATGCCGAAAGATCATCTAACCATCTATTACTTTTGTTTTTTTTTTAATTACGGATCCGTTCGGTTTCATTCGAAACGGACTGGTAAGTTAAACGGGTAAACCAAAGTATTAAGTAAAAAAAAAACAATTCCTATTAAATATGTCACGTAATTTCTTTTACGTGTCAATTTTCAATTTAACAGTAAAACTCACGTTTTCAGTATCTTCCATTATAGTATAGTTTGGGTACCAAACTAAAGCTTAAAATTTTAACAACGCCATCTATTTTCAAATTCCAGAACCACGTGAACCAGTTGACTAAGAATGACGACATCGACGCTATTTTCCAAATGAACATGCCAGACGACTCGCCCGCGACTAACAAACTGATGTGAGTATTGCGGGGAAACTGCGCATAGATGGCGTTACTGGTTCTTGCACTCAAAGGCTACCGGTTTTTTTATCGTGTGATCATAAAATATCTTTAAATGTCTCGTTCGTCGTCGAACCGTTGCAAATGCGACTGAGCAAGACGTCTTCAATTTGATGCCCAAATTGAGCAATATTTTTTAAGATATTTTTCAATTTTCCAAAAAGTTAATGCGAACACACCAATTACTTAACTACATTTATTAATCCCAATATGCATTGTTAGAGAAAGTAAGCCAAGTACTAAATAAAATATAAGTACTTAAGAATTACCCAGTTTTCTTTCAAAAACCGCATCTTATAAGTTTAGCTTCAGCTAGACTTCTGTACTACCCCTAGTTCTCGTAATATTACGTGTACCGATACTTTCTTAACTTGGTGTTGCTTAACTTTAGGGTAAAACAGAACTAATATTTGATATCATGTAACAGGGAAGCGCCATAACCACGAATATTGCGTTAGGAAAGACAACAATATAGTTCATATATGTACTGTGTTATGTCATATAATAATCAATGTTTTCACGAAATATTTTGGAATTGAGATTTTATTAGTACGATTTTATATTAACTCGTCGAGTACCGTATTTATAGACACAATTAAAGAACAATAGGTTGCGGTCACCGGTGACCGCTCGGTGTTTGACAGTTTAATTTAGATATAAACCAAATATTTAATCTCCAGAGCTCAAAGTCAAAATCATTTATATAAATTAGACCAAGAAGGCACTTTTACATGTCAACAAATAAATTTAAAAGTGAAGCTATTTGCTCATGCCAACGTGTAGATTCCTATGGAGAAGGACGAGCTAGAAAGTCCATAGTTTACTATTTTTCAATCAGGTTTACAATACAGGGGTATGTAAAGGAGCACACTTGCTCAGCAGTCACTTTTGCAAAGTTTACAAATTCGACCGACAAAGTAATCATTTTGATAGACCGTGTTCTGTTCCACGTTTTTGTATTAAAAAGATTAATTACATTATTCCTTTTTCAATTATTCATTTTACGTTTTTCAGGCTCGAAAATGATGACGGACCTGTAGAACTGCCATTCAGCCGAAATGTGGAAGCGAAGCCCATGCTGGACGACGACCTGTTATCTAAGATGAAAATGTGGCAAATCATGGTAAGAAATTGTTATAGCTTGAGGCTCTGGATACCCATTACTAACCAAGTATGTATGAAACGCAATTTCTATGCACTATCTGCCAGTTAAAAGTAACGGAAAATGTGGCTAATTATGATATCAAAAACAACCTATATACTAGTTAAAGGCAGATGAATAAGATAAACATATACGAACGCGATATAACTGGCTCTTTTTAAAATCAATATTATTTATTATATTAGGTACCTACTATAGTACTGCAAGCCTTTGCCCTGCAATGGGACGGTCATGGCTGAAAATAAATAAATAAATAACTAGAGTATTTTTAACAATTAAAGTAGATGCAAATTAGCTTTCAATTTTCAATTAAAAATTACTGAAATAATGAATGGATTGAAATAATGTTAAGGTATTATTAATAACCTATTTTCCATATAATATTTTACTATAGTAAATAATAGATTTAATTTGTAATCCTCTTCGTAGTGAATATTGTTCTAATAATTTTTGAAAGTCTCATAGGACTTTGTTCTCCTTAAGGCATACAACTTATTTTAGATACAATATATTAAACTGAACCATTTGCTGATTATAATAAGATTTATTTCGCTTTTGTTTCAGAGAGAGTCGCCTGAAGAAAAGTAAATTAAATAAACAAAAATCAAATTATACCAAAGATTGACTGACGTTATTAATTTCAAAATTTGTTTTCTTATATTTATATATTATTATTATAAATTCAATATATTTCAGTATGTATATTATTTTAATTTATTAATACTCTAATTTTAACGAATGTATTTAAATACGTCAATTGTAAGGTTGGGTTGCAATTGGCTAATAGTTGTATAGATAGATTAGAATATAAGATAAAATGTGCCATTTGTAAACGTATAAGATGTTTTTATTAATCCTTTTAAAATAACCAATTTCAATAATCACAATTCAAACTGCATTATATTCCAAATCGATCGCCCTTTTGAAATGACATCATTACTATCTTAAAAAATAATTATTTGCTTAATACATACAATTCCTTTTTTAATAAAATTTTACAGTCAAGATTCAAAGAAAAACCTATAATCCATTCAAGAAATAAAAATCAAATCTTAATGAACAAAAAAATAATATAAGTCCGTGCAATCGTCAATAGATGTCACTAATCAAAAACAATAAATAGCACATTTTTGTCAATACAATGCGACTGTATAATGTACCGAAATCAATGCTTGTATACGATGAAAATTCAAGAGCCCTCATAAATATGTTTATCTAATTATTTGTAAATTGTAGTAGACATGCAAATGTTCATAATTGTTGGTGTTATTATATAAAATGAAACTGTAAAATATAAGGCAGATTCATCTTCGAATTATGGTCTATTATTTTGTTATCCTTTACTAATGCGATACCTAGTTTCTTAAAATATTATACAAATAAATGACTTATCTATAAGACTACAATATTTATTAAAACAGAGATTCAGTAATTACTTATTACTGACTGCCTCGTTAGTTGCGTGCGACTGCTGGGCAAGGGGTCTCGGGTTTGATTCCCGTGTCGGGCAAAGTATGGGTCTCTTAAATTCTTAGTGGTAGCACGGATTCTGGACTTGCGCCTGGTATATAGCAATACGCTCACTCCCTATGAAATGGAACTAATCACATAAATAGTGAAAAGTGGGTGTTACATTGCACAGAGACATTAAGTACCGTAATGTGCACCTCTGCCTACCTCTTCGCAGATAAAAGGCGTGATGTTATATAACAATATCTATATAGATTTAGTAATCTGAACAAAAGCTAAATCGACTCACACAGTTTGACTGTACAATAAACACACCAGTCTTAAGATGTTCAGAATGTATTAGCGATAGACATTTCTTAGTTACATGCAACTATTAACTATTCTCAAAACAAATTGTTATATAAAATTGAACCTTATACCTAGTATGGAAAGCAAAAAGTGGTATCAATTACGCGTCATCAAAAAAATCGCTCCTCTATTAACTCTCTACTTTATTTCGTACAAACTAGTATGTACGTATGTATAAACAAATGTAAGTTTGCACTAAAAGCATTGTCGGGTCAGTCTCGACGGGATTCAGGTAAGTATAATTGCGCCTACTTTCAAACTTTTCTGTGGGACAAGTTCAAGCAGTCTGAGAGTTAAAAATAAACAGTATATTAAATAACATTCATTAAAAAACTACTTATACCTAAAATCAAATCCTTTCTAAGCAGCTGCACTAACGGTCACCAATTGGAACATGACTTGCTTGATAATTAGAGTAATTATGGAACTAAGGCAACAAACACGTCCTACAAAGCAAACGATGACCAAAGAATCGGAAGTTCCGGACAAAAACATTATTCTCTATAATTCTTTTATAATCTACGTTTAAAAAAAATGACTTCAACCCCTCTTCTTTGAGGTCGGTTTATTAATATACTAGCTTTTACTAACCGGGGCTCCGGCTCGACGTGCAGGAGAAGGAACGGGGTGGTTTTTAGTCAGTAAGAGTCTGACACTCCCTCCCGCCTCACCCAGGCGGGAGCAGTCATTCGATGATTTTCCCCCCTTAAAAATAAAAAAATACTAGCTTTTACCCGCAGCTTCGCTCGCGTCACAAAAGGATAAAAAGTAGCCTATGCAACATATACCAATACACATAGCGCCATCTATACCAATTCTTTTGTTTTCCCTCGGGAATATCAAATTTTTCCGGGATAAAAAGTACCCTATTATTTAATACGGACTTCTAATATTACGTCTGCAAAATTTCAAAGCAATCGGTTTAGTAGTTACGGCGTGAAAGCGGAACAAACAAACAAACTCACTTTCCGATTTATAATATTAGTAAGTATAAGGATTAAAATAAAACATTTTCCTAAGTGTAACAAAGACTTTTCTGAAAACCTCATCAAATTCATTTCAGCTAATCGCGAGATAGAGAATCTTTTTCGTTTTTTTTTGAAGTCGGTTGTAAATACTTCCCGCTGTCCGCTTCTACCTCACACCGTAATTAAACATGCTATAAACATACCGAAACAAACCTATTTAGTACAACAATGATTATAGCCCTCTCAGTACTTGCAAGCCTGTTGCATTTATTCTCATTTACTATTAACTATTTTATTAATTTGTGTTATTTATCTAAATAAAAAATTACCTAATTTACCTGAAACATGATCATCTTTTTCATTGTAACTCAAATAGTCGAGACCCGAGTAATTTTTATCATCATCATAACATCACGCCTTTTATCCCCGAAGGGGTATACAGAGGTGCACATTATGCCACTGTACAATGTAGGTAACACCCACTTTTCACTGTTTTATGTTATTAGTCCCATGTAATAGGGGTGTGCCTATTGCCATATACCGGGCACAATTCCAGACTCCGTGCTACCACTGAGAATTTTTAAAAACCCAGTAATACTTTGCCAGACCCGGAAATCAAACCCGAGACCCCTTGCCCGGTAGTCGCACTTGCAACCACTCAGCCAACAAGGCAGTAATTTTTTTACTACTATGGATACCTAGCAATAAAGCTTATGACGTACCTGATGATAAAATAAAGGGTATTCGAATTCTTCCGCAAAAATCACAAAACCTTAAGTTAACTTTAGGGTTATATCAAAACTATTTTCGATAGCCTCAAGACACATAAACTTATTGCTTCTTCCTTAAAACATAAGTTGGTTGGTCGAAAGCGATTACCTAAGTATAGTAGCTACTTATTCGCCGCTGTTTTGAGACGGTACAGTAGAATAGATTTCCCGTGCCTACAGCACATTGCATTCCACAGCCATCAGACCACCACGGATGGGGCCCAGTACGGCTGATGTCCGATACGGAGCCGCAGAAGGCCTAACAAGTTACCGAGCTCTGGCTCAAAGAGCAGGATTATGAACGGAGTGGTTTTTATTTAGTAAGAGTCTGACATCGCCTAAACCAAGGCGAGAGAAGTGTTTGTATAATTTTTCCCATCAAAAAAAATAATAATTTGGCTACACTCTTTTCCAGCGCGTATCGCGTGTGAGAGCAGACAGTGCAGTAGTGCTCGCTGAAGAAACCTTAAAAACTAATCGTGGAGCATGACAATAGAAGAGTAATTATAGGAGGTTCATAGTAGGTTCGACCGTGAACTTTATTGTCCTTGGCTGCCGACGTTGATTATACCAGGTTGATATGATGTAAAACAATAAGTACTTATTCGTGTAACGTATATTAAAAACATTATAAAATATGATGATTAAATATTGAACTAACGAAACAATGTAACCAAGAATTGTATTGAGAACCTGATTGAATTGAGAATTGTATTGAAAAGAGTAACCTATCGAGTTTCTTGTCCGTTCTTCTCCATAGGAATCTACACTTTGGAACAAGCAAATAGCTTCACTAGAGGACTGACCGAGCGGATATTTTTTAAATACTTCAATATTTTGTTTTGACATTCAAGAGCAGGTACTAGGAAGGCTTAATTGAAAAAAATTTTTTTGACTTTGACTTTAATTATGTAGATCAAATCATAGTACAATTAACAATTTCATATTCCGATTCCACGCTGCATCAAATATTAATTTATTTGCGTACTTATGATCTGATTTGTAAAATAATTTTATGTTTTTTATAATAGGTAATATTATTATTTCTTTTTTCAAATGTTGGAATTTGCTGTCAAAAGTGTCGATTCTGGAACCGGCTGTTATAATGCGCGCGAAAAAGGCAAGGATGGAGACAAATAATCTCTTTCATCACCACACTGCATGTTAAAATAATATATGTACTAAGCACTCCTTCAAATTAAGAGATCACAGGATTCAATAATAGAGTGGTATCTCTTCTCGTGTATCTTCCCAGTTTCCGTAAAGAACTGTGTTTTATTTTCATAATAGTACATTTATCTTGCATTCTTGTGTCGACAGTTATTTGTGATAAAGCTGTGGTGAGGCTACAGGCTATTTATCCAACTGGCCATTTCTTTAGATGACTGAACAATGGGTAGACTGTACAATGTTAGTGTTTCTTAAAACACGTTTAGATGTAAGTTTTGAGTGGTCGCAAGTACGAATGCCGAGTAAGGGGTCTCGAGTTTGATGTCCTTGTTGGACTATATTGTTATATTGTTTTTCAATATTGTGTTACATTATACATAAATACACTTTATAACGACGAAAGTATAACAATGTGAAAATACGTATTTACAATTTCAACGTAGTTTGTGTAACGGCAGAGGGTTGTATAAAAAACAAAACAAATAAGCACCCTATTTCCATCGCCGTGTCGCTGCACCGACCGCAGCGACATCTCTATTTTAATTCCGTTAATTGGTGGTAAACAACTCCAAGTGTTTGTTCTCAATGAATTGTTGATGGAAATATTCATTTCCTCGTTTCTTTTGTTATTATAATAGAATGTGAATTTTCTGATGGTGAGACAAATTTATATTATACCATTTGAACTATAATAATAATAATAATAAGCCCGCAGGGCACCTTGAGGCGAGGTGACGGGCATTAGCGATCCCGCGGGCTACCATCATCCCGAGTGCTCCAGGGAGAAGGCACCGTTCCTTCTTCTCCGGCTTGCCTTAATTGGCTGGCTGGAGTGAACGATGACAAGGAACAGGTCTCCCAC